GAAGATCAGATGGATTGCCAGAAAGAATAAGCAACAAAGAACTCTGGTCTGGGAACGAACCAATCAAGAACCTATCGCCCAGCAAATATGCAGAAGAAGAGAGTGGAGATGGATTGGGCATACACTGAGAAGACCATTTGGGGACATCACGAGTCAAGCCTTCTAGAGGAACCCAGATGAGAAGCGACGAGTTGGGCATCCCAGTTGAGGGTGACATGGAGGAGATGGTGTGAGGAAGAAATGAAAGCTTCTGGGCTGTCGTGGAGGCAGGTTCAATAATTTGCAGAGAACAAAGTGAAATGGAAACGTGTTACTGAAGCCCTGTGTTCCACTAGGAACCCCGAGAGACAACTAATAATAGTAATAAAGTAATATGACCAAACTTACTGAAAGCAACTACAAAGACATAAATAAAAGTGGTATCATATTTCTTAGACATACAGATGAATCGTTTACGTAGCTTCCCTCAAATACATCGCATTATCACAAGAAAGTTTATCGGTTGTCATGGCAGACCAGCTGATATAATATACAGGAATGTTATAATCATTCTTATTTGAAAATATTGAGTAAAATGTCTGATATTCTTTGACGATGATAAGCAGCTTTCGAATGATGAGATGAAAATCTCAACCGTGGCAGGACTCCAGCCATCGACCGCCACCTAGCAACCGGCCCCACTTGAGCTGTGAGACTCAACTACTAACCAAACTTTTATTTCACTTCAATCTCTTAAGGTTTTACCCAACTGTCATGTGAATTCGTGATACGGTACTATCATTTGCTCGTTAGTCACACTGCCTACCTGATCAGGACTTGTCATTTCAATGTCAAATCTAACTGAATTAAAGACGGGGAGCAGCATCATATTGATTATCATGCTGACTATTTAAATCGATGATGGAAGGATATGAATCAGTGTGGACCAACGTGTTACCGACCCAATGTTCTGCAAACTCAGTCATTTAGCTACAAATAAAAGAGGCCATCTAGCTGTCTATTATTTTTCTTAAGAAAATTTTTACAGCCAATGATTTATTCCCTGTTATTGTCAAACTCTTCACTTCAGAAATACAGCAAGAGCCTAGATGATTAGGCTTAATAAAAGTGGAACAGTAATTCTAGACAGTGTATCAATTGGTAGGTATAACCATGAGACAGATAGATACAAATAGTGACAGAAGATAAGTCCAGAAGAAGAAAAAATAGCCTATCACTTCTAGTTGTCATTATTTTAACTCCGTTAAATAAAGCATAATAACAATCCCACGAGGAAATCGATAAATGTCTGGAGGGATGAGATGTAGCAATAAAAAGGCAGCCAATAGGGGAGTTGTTTTCAAGTTATGATTTATGCTTGCGTTGACGTGAGAACCTGATTGGAGGAATTCGACCTCATACAAGAAATCGGATTGGTTCATTTATGGCTTCACTTTCTGAGAGTTTTGTAAATATATATGTGTCATGTATTTGTCAAATAAATATCGTCGTTGTTTTTGTTGTCACAGGTCGTCTTTGTCGTGTGGTTTCTTCGCGTCCCAGTAAAGCAGAAGGTACTGAGGAGGTTCAGCCGTAAAAGTATTCGGTTGAGGTGTCTACTGAGTCTCAGTATCATTATGCCCACGCATGCAACCCCACTCAGGCACAACAAGGGGAAAACAACGACACAAAGTTCATTGCAGACAAAGTACCCATACACCAACTAACGTTATTTGTAAACTATTCCTTACAGTCGACTATGATGACCATTATAGCCTTCTAGCAAGTCATTAAACCAAAGATCAAGGACCGTGATAAACAGATGACATTAAGGAAGTTAAGGAAATGAAACGTATTGACTCACCTGTGAAGTCACGTGGTACTACCCGTCTGTCTAAATCTTGGTAAGTGGAGTGTGTTTCCAACCTTCTTGACCAACTCTGTTTAATAGTCATCTTCCTAAATCAATGAGCCACAGCTTCACAGGGATTTGACGAACCAACCATGAAACTGATACTTCTTAACTAGATGCAATCAGTTTAGAATATAAAACATACACAAAGGTTTGGTTGGTTGTAGCTAGCAGAAGAATCCAGGATGCGCGTTTCGTCCTATTTGGGACTTGTCAGCTAGACGTGCTTGCATCCCAGTGGTGTTGTTCCCACTGAGACTCGAATTTCGTACCCATCGTTTCAAACGTCAAGGCGTTATCCACTATGCCAAGGAGGAACGATAGTCACTCCTTGTACGATGGGTAGTAGTTATTACTATTTGTTGACACATACTTGTTATTCTCCGTTGTTTTGTTGGATCGGATTGTTCGACCATTTCATCAAGCGTCAATTTTCAACCAATGACTCTAGTATCGGAGACCCTAAGTAAGCCAATCTACCTACATCTCTCCACATGGCTCAGATCAACATTCAGTGACCTCATCGACTAGTGCCACCCTCCTGGCTTTGTCAACCTGAACGCTTTACCTAGCCTAATCCAACTTGAGTAATGTGACAGAATGTCATTCCATCATAGATTTGTTGGTTTAATATGTATAACCCAGAGTGATACAGTATTATTTACTTGATGACGTTTCGAGCATAACTTATCACTCCTGATAATCACACTACTTTCCGTATCTCTGATGTAGGTGTTACAGTGTAGCGTTGATTTGAGGAACGAGGATTCGGTAATCAGTCTCCATCTTTCTTTCTCTAATTATATTGGACATGAGTACAGTTGTTTTGTCCCACCCTATTGTGTGTTAATGCATGCATTGCAATAGCCGAGTTACTTTCTAGATTATTTATGATATTCGAGTCTGTCATTCTATATTTAGCTTAAATTCCTATGTTCCACTATTCTAAGTGACCTTGACCGGCTAGTTTGATCTATGTACTTGACCTCGCAGTCATTGCATAGAATTTGGTAGATTAGATTAGTTTGTTTGATTAGATCTATCGGATCCTTAAGCCGACGAAGCTTATCTCTGAGTGAGTTTGTAGGTTTAAATGCTACCCTAATTCCAGCCTCATTCAGAATCCTACATAAAGCTTCTAATATATCCTTCCTTATAAGGGCTTTCACCTCCTTTCTACGCGTGTTATCGTTATTATTCATACTCATATTACTGTTATTACTTCGTTTCTTAGGTGTTCATACGAATTTCTTCATAAACTGTAGAGGATTATTGTCGCATAAGGAAGGAACATCAAAAACTTGGCGTAGGATCCTCAACAAAGTAAAAATTAGGGGGAAAACTCGAAACTACAAATTCACGCACAGATAAGCTTTGTCAGCAGCTGGCTTAAGGATCAGATAGATCCATGTAATGACTGTGAGGTCAAGTATGTAGATTAAACTAGCCCATCGGGGTCAGTTAGAATAGTGGAACATAGCGATTTAGCTAAATATAGGATGACAGACCTGAATAAGACCAATAATCTAGAAAGTAGCTCGGCTGTAGCAATGCATGCATTAACACACAACCACACAATAGGGTGGGTGGGATAAAACCACTGTACTTATGTCCAAAATATAATTAGGTGAAGAGAGATACAGACTGATTACTGAATCCGATGTTCATTGCATCTATACCCAAAACATGTAATAGGGATGAAGCAACACCTATACCATAGATATAGAAGACTTTACTACCAACTGAAACAGAAAATCAGGTGACATAACTATAAAAATTCAGATGTCGAAGGTGGTATGATTACATACTGATATGATTATGAGCAACAGAGTAATTTATGATCGAAACATCATCAAGTAAATAATACTAGATCAATTACTGTGTTATAAATCAAATAAACAAATCTAATATGGAATTAATTTACCTTATCCTAGTATGCCACGGTGAAGTAAGTGGTGGCTTGGCATGTTCAGTACATCTCCAAGCCATCTCAGTCGACTAAGGTTCACCACCCCACAATAAACTAACTATCTCCTTGCTTGTTTGTTTGTACAAGCAAATATGCCTTCAACATGTAGTTTATGGTGAGTTTAAAACAATCAATCATTTACTGATCATGAATAATTTTACAGTGTAATTCAAAAGCCATCTGAATGAATACTCTTTTCTATAACTTCTCTTTTATTTTTTGTTCTCCTTAGCTTCCTTAACCCACCCCTCTTCCGTACTCTGCTAATGAAATTTTATAAGAACTCTTAGTTAGAGAATAAAAGTCATATGTTGAGAAGATATAATTGAGGGCAGTGATATGTTAATTCGGCCTGTGGCCCTATGAATTTAATTTTCCGTGCACATGAGCACCATCAAACAGGGTCAAACTTGATTGAAAGGAACCATAAAGTGGATATGAATAATTCATTTTCACTTCCCTATCGAATTTCCAATCAACTTGTCAAATCGTTCAAAAGCCAAAAGCAGTAGCAATCAGGATCAAACAACTTGAATTATGCATGACCCAATTCAGAGCACAAAAATCTATTCATATCCCATTTCAAGCAAAATAATTTCTTAATTTCATACGCATAATTCCTCGATATGGACGTATAAAACTTTACGAGATGATGAAAAAGAAATTATCGAAAAGAATATTCTTCTTCACTCAAATCCCTTTGAATCCAATTCATAGTCTCCATATAACATCCGACTTATAAACATACATCATGGAGTGACATCAGTTGGGGGAACCATTGAAAATCTGGGAGTACTGGACAGCTGCCTCGTCCAACTAGTATGGGACTCCTCAGCAGTACATACCCACGACCTGGCTAGGGATGGAACTCAGGACCTTCAGGTTTCACGGCAAACGCGTTAACCATTCAGTCACTGGGTCGGTTTCCAATGGTTCACAATTTCCAACTTCTGTGACATACTAATTGGACGAAACAGCTATCCAGTACTCCCAGATTTTCAATGGTCACCCAGCTGATGTCAGTCCATGATGAATACTACTTCTCAATTAAAAAAAAATCTCCATTCATCTCAAAAATACATTATAAATATACACCAAGTAAAAAGTGAATGAATGCCCCCATTAGTATAGTTGACTTACGTTCACGTGTTATGTTTATCAATTCTAAGAAAATAGTATTTGGAAATGGTGGTTCACCTAATTCACGAAAATATAATTTTAATAATCCAGCAGTAGAATTTATATCTCTTGGTTCATGTATACCAATTAAAGGATCATCACCATTTTCAAAGGCATCTTTAAAATCGTTTATCTCTGCTTGACTACCAGATACACGAAATACGCCTTGTTGATGCATTCCTGATAATAAAAATAAGAAAAAATTTTGATCGAAAAATAAAAACAGAACAGATGATAATAAAACTGTATATAATGGTTATATATTCATAAAAGTGAGTATTCTTCTTTTCAGGTTCCATAGCTCAGTTAATTGACAGACAGAGTGCTGGTTCGAACCCCTCAATTATCGCACAGTATTCCTTACTTAGAAATCAATAAAACTATAAGTTGGATGTAGTCACTTACAAGTTTATTATTCCAACCACGGCTGAAATATCGGTGATGATAAAAAAACCACAACCAGGATATATGCAGAGACAAGATGAAGGAAATCAGTAATAAAGGTGGTAATACGACCGATTAAAGCTCATTTGTAATATTTTAGTCTTTAAAACAATTAGTTGCCTTTATAAACTTCGACAAAACAATAAGAAGGTGGCGGGTTCGATCCCTGGCGGGGTCGTGGGTGCACATTGCTGAGGAGTCCCATACTAGGACGAAACAGCTGTCCAGTGCTCCCAGGTTTCCTTTGTTCCTCCTCCAACTGACGTTAGTCTACGATGAATAACAACTTGAAATACTTCCAAATCTCCACAACTCCATCAAAAAAACAATAAGAAGACGTAAATTATCTTAACCATGTAATGGTGTATTTGCGCAACACATTTCGAACTATCTGATCACACACGTACTTGTCATAGGTATTTATATAAAAATCCATTAAGATAAGGGGTGAGAAAATAAAGAGGTCAGGTAGGAAGGCTGAATTAAAGACCGAATAGAGCGAAAAATAATAGTACATCGAACTTGGTTTTCAATAGTAGTTGAATTTACCAAGGGGGATATTTAATGTGACAAGACAAACTGTTTATGAACACATAAAGGTGGTTTCAACTTCCTAATAGCTAAGGCTTCAACAAATGTTTTGTAAATAGGTGTAGAGGAAGTAGCCACATCAATCCTGTGGCCTGTCTCAACGATATGTTTGGAGATCGAAGAACTTGGACGTCTGCTACCAACATTTATAGGTTCAGGTGATTTAATTTGCTTCCGAAGCCACTCTGGAATATGTTCCGAAGCCCTTACTTGCATGGATTTCTTAGTCCTCCTTATGTATGTGTCACCACACGTACATCTGAATGGGTAGATACAATGGGAGGTGGCACTGTCGTTCACATGCTATGGGGGTTTGTGGAAATATACGGCGTTCGTGGATTCGATTACTTAAACCCCGGCTGCATAGTAAGTCCTTCTAACAGCAACGTTAAGTCTCCGCTTAAGGATCGCGCTAAGAGGGTCACCTCTATACGGAAGGCTGATGAAGACATCCTTCTTTAGGTCTAGTTTTAATGCTCTGATAATTTTGTTCTGCATGATAAATGTTGATGGATAGTTATTTTCCAACAGAATATCAGTCAGTGTTCCTCTTTCATCTTCTAATATATCCTTTGTGCATATTCGTTGATTTCTGCTGAATAAGCACTTTACTAACAGAGATTAGGTTACCAATCTCTCTCTCTCTCTCCCTCCACTCAACAATATTGGTTTTGAATACTGTCGCTGCATTCCACCCTACTGTGTGATAGTGCGTAATCGCATGCATAGCTATAGCCAAGCTTTTCACTAAATTTTTTATCTTATTAGAATCTACTATTGTTAATTTAGCTAGAGATCAGGTAATTCCCTCCTTTTCTCCGTGAAATTGTTGTACTGCAGTGTGTCTGCACGCAACTAACTTTGTGTGTTGTTGCGTTGTGACTACCGTAGTTGAGGATTTGATCAGTATGAGTTGGCTTCCTGTAAACTTGTGTTTCCAACTTTTCCGCATTCGTCCTATTGACTAAAACAGTCAGAAATGGTAGTTGGTTGTTTGACTCTTTATCCACTGTCAACTTGGTGTCACTGAAAACGTCGTTGATCAAATTGTGGGTATCTTCTATATCATCTTTTTTAATGATGACAAAAGTATCGTACACACAGTGAATCTAAATTTTTGGTTTGATCACAAGTAGATTGATGGCTTCCATTCCCTGCATCACTGCTTCTTCAATTAGTCTGGATATCAGTGATCCCATTGGAGTTCCTTTCATCAGTTTTTATATCTTGCCATTGAATTGGAGGTATGTGGTCAGACAAAGGTCAATTAGTTCCATAAGACTTGAAAATTTAAGTTTGTGCGTTCTGTAAGGTTTGTGTCTTCATTGAATAAGAGGTTCAATGGATGTGTATAGTGCTGTAACATCGAAGGATACTATTAATTCATCGTTTTCTCTATTAGTGCCTTTGATCTTTTCTAAGAATTCTGTTGGTGATTTGATCGAATGTTCATATGATTCAACCAGGAGTTTCAGTTTTCTCGAAAGTTCTCTTGATATGTTGTATGTTGGAGTTCCCGGAAGTGAGACTGTTGATCGTAGAGGGGTGTCTGATTTGTGTAGTTTTGGTCTGCTATAAAACCGAGGAACGATGGGTCCACTCGAGGAGAGGAATAGTCAATGACACAACAATCAAAGGAAACAACCAATCACACACGAGCCAGTTCGTCAGTGCAAGCTAGTAAATCACCAACGGAGAGATATTGACAGCTCACCACATACTGAAGTTAGTGTTGATGATGATGTCTAATAAGACTATGAAAGCTCCACGAGTAAACAAGGTAGCTCAGAGAACACAAAACAACCAAGACCATCCATCTGAACTACAAATATTCCCCACCATTCCATTTGAATGTACTTGAGTACCAGATTATTTGTCTAAGAGCTTCCTGACTGATTAGACCCAGAAACATTCAGTGAAAGTGAAACACCTCAAATTGAAGTTCCATTGAAGTTAACACATAGTTTGACAAAGAGAAAAACTAAGCATATATCAGTCGCTTACTAGATACAAACTCTGCTTTCTGACTTAGTCACATGCAGTAGGATTAGGGGATATGATTATTAAACCATTAAATAAAGGTACCATGTAACCCTAGGTTGAGTAGCTTAGAACAGGATAAGGACAGAATAGATAGATAAGCGTGTTTAGGTTCAGCTATGAAGATGCGATTTGTAGATATTCGAAAAAATCTTGAACCTGTCAATTAACGCAAGGCAACTAACTATTCCTAAACTCTGGTTAACATTTGGATGACAATAGCACTATAACATTTTAGAAACTATTCTAGTTAGTTGGTATTTATCGGAGACTGACATCAGTTGGAGGAACAATGGAAACCTGGGAGCACTGGACAGCCGTTTCGTAATAGTATGCAAATCCTCAGCAGTGGCCGTGAGGGCAAGTACTCAACGATAACATTGGGTGGCAGTTGCGCTATGTTGCGAACGAACAGAAGTTGGGAAAATGGACTAGTGGATTCTGACCCAGTGGCTCAGTGGTAACGTGCCGACCACGAACCTGAAGGTCGCGGGTTCCATTTCTGGCGGGGTCGTGGGTGCCTATTACTGAGGAGCCACATACTAGAACGAAACAGCTGTCCGGTGCTCCCAGGTATCCATTGTCCCTCCAACTGGTGTCAGTCTACGATGAATACCAAGTTGAAATATCTCCCAGAACCCCCCCCCAAAATCAATATTCCAGTTAGGCTGATTCTTTGGAGATCATGAAAAAAGTTTTTATCGCGGTTTGAAGTTGATTTTATTTTCACCGCAGTATTCACTATTGACTGAGATCAGTTGAAGAGTCATTGAAAACATGAGAGCAATAGGCAGCTGTTTCGTCCTAGTAAGAGGATTCCTCAGCTGTACTCACACACAATACCCCTCACAGGAATTAAAATCAGGAGCTTTAGGTTTCACGACGAACGCATTAACCGTTCAACCGCCGGATCGAAGATCAGTGATTCAGTACAGCAAGGTCAACAAAAAATGCGCTACACAAAATAATATAACAACATTATGAAGACATAAAGCTAAGGGAAGTGGATACGTAAGACAGAAAAACAATAAGAACACTATGATGAGAAGGGCATTCCAGTAAAGTATATTCAAAACAAAATACTCATTCCTTTTCAGCAGCAAAAGATAGAAGGAAGCTACTAGATAACCGCCACTAGTTTCGACTCTGAGTCATATTCGATAAGATCTCAAGCCAGTGAGTTGCGTGATCTCTCGGATCCCACTCAGGGAGTCGTGATGCACCAACAGATGCTAACCCAATATGAATCTCCTTCATCCCAATGTGCCGCGTAATGCATTGACCACTTCTTTAATTCCTCCATCAAGTCCCTGGGCTAGCAAACAAACAATGTCCAAGCTACCAAAGCCAGTGTTTCCAGATGACTTCACTAACTGAATGGCGATATCCGTCATGTCCAAACACATGCTGTCGTAACTCAGAATTACTTACATGGTGTTGCCACTAGATACGAACAATCGAACGGAGACAAAGATTATCGAATATACAGAGTCGTCGCAGAACTGCTCGCATCAAAAGTTGTATATCCGACCTTTTACAGTCACACTGATATCGCCATGAAGCTAAAGGTGGCCAAGATTGACGTATACCAATAAGATTTTCGTTATGCGGTTGGAAATTTTACCATTTACACCTCCACCAGCACTCATACAAGTACCAAGATACACGAAATTTCCGACTACTTCCAATGGCTCACCACCAAGCGTGAGCGCAGGCACAAGCTCCTGCCAACCCTTATGCAAAGCACATACCATAACTTACTGACATGATATAGTGATATAGTGGTCAGTTGGCATCCGCTTCTCCTCCAACTGGTTGACCTCACAGGTCACAACTTCTTATTAGAACTTCAAGATATCCATATGGAAGTATGTCAGTAATAAGTACTACACAGTAGTGCATTTTGAAGTGCGTTATTATTGTTATTATTATTATTTTTCCCATGGGTTCCTAACGCAACGTACGGCTTTAGTAGCACACCTCTATTGCACTCTGTCCTCTGAAGTCTTTTCAACCTGCCGCCACGACTGCCCTGAAGCTCTCATTTCTTCCTCACACCATCTCCTCCTCCATGTCACCCACGCCTCCGAAGCCCAACTCATCGTTTCCCCTTTGGATTCCACTCGACGGCCTGGCCTGACGCGTGGTGTCCCCAGTCGGCCTTCTCAGTGTATGCCCAATCCATCTCCACTCTCTGCTCCTGCAGATTTGTTGAGCGATAGGTTCTTGCTTCGTTGGTTCGTCGCAAGGCCAGAGTTCCCCATGGCTTATTCTTTCTGGACAGGTGATATGATCTCCAGTATCGAGCCAGCGTAGGTAGTTGTTGATGAATGCCTGCAGTTTGTTGAGAATCCCTTTCGTAACGCACCAAGTTACTCAACCATCACATAGAAGCACTGACTTAACTGAATTGGTGTTGAAAATCCGGATCTTGTTCACACTTTATGCTGAGTGCAGTAGATCTCCACACCGGTTTCAGGGTAATGAACGCCTGTCTTGCTATCTTTCCGATCCTGGCTACTTTGACATCCTCATCTGTGTCTATGTCACCTGTAGTTGAAACGATGTTGCCTACGTAGATGAAGGAGACTACTTCCTTTGAGTTTCTCCCCTTCACAGTGATTGATGCCTCTTGTTTTTGATGCTGTTGTTGGTCGGGTATGTTCATCACCTGTGTCTTCTCTACATTCACTTGAAGTCCCGTTTTCACTGCCCTGCCTCTTCTGTCAACTTGTTAGTTTTCGTCTGTACATCTTTGAGTTTGCGTGACATCAGACATAAATCATCATCGTTGGCGAAATCCAAATCTTCTAGGCTCTTTTCATCGATCCAGTCAGCGTATGCTCATCTTCTCGCTCCTCACGGTTTGGTGCATGATCCGTTTCAGTCCACCATAATCAGGAAGATTGTTGATGATAATAGGCAACCTCGTCTTACTCCTGTCTTCACTTCAAAGGCGACACAGCTTTCCATTGTAGTGTATGGGGATTTTAATTTTAAGGATTGATAGACTGGATTCATTATAATAGATGGAAAATTGAATGTTTATAATACACGCTAATAACGTATTCTTTATACGAGTCAATACAACTGAAATGACCAAAAACTGATACAACATAGTAACCTAAAACTAATTCACCTTTCTAATGCAAACTATTTTGGATGTCATAACTCTGTCAATGATAAACAATACTTCAAATCTCTGTACTGATATGGTAAGAAGTATCAATAGGATGCTTCATTTCTTCTTACAACTGCCTGTCAACCTTACAGACACACACAAACACACACACAAATAGTTTCTAGAAATGCTAATATCGTTAAGGTGCATTGACAAAATATATTTGGAATAAAAGTACATAAACCTTTCAAGCTGATATAATGCTATGCATTTAAATAAGTTTTAATAAAACCTATTCAGCAGCCTTGTGGACTATTTGTGTCCTGATGGCTAGTGATACTACCTGGTTGCCTAAATCTCGTTAAATGGAGTGAGGCTCAAACCTGAGACCCACTGGTTGAACCATTTAGACATAGCTCGTAGGTAGGTCATGGGTGCATACTGTTGAAGAGTCCCATACCAGGACGAAACAGCTGTTCAGTGCTTTCAGATTTCCAATGATTCTATAACTGATGTCAATCCATGATGAATACTAACTTAATCATAGCAGATTTCCTGAACATTGCTTTGCATGGTAAATGATACTAGACTGAACTGTATGATTGGAAAGATGAGTGCTTGGACTTAATTAGCCTTTCTCTGAAACCAAACTAATAGCTGTAGTGGTCAAGCTTACATATCACAATGACCCAATAAGTTACAGTGTCCACTTGAGATCTTATTATACCAAAAAATTCAGTTAGATAAGGATAAGTATCACAGTGTGAATGGTTATACTATGATGGGAGATATGAGAACAGTACTACACCACTACTACCTTCTCTATCGGCAGATGTGAAGGGTTTACAAAAGGTTGGCTCCCTGACAAAAGAACACTCCGCATTACCTTACAGCTTTCCTTTAAAATGAATGAATGAATGAATGAAATTTCAACTCACCAAATTCATTAATAACACGAGTACATGAGAGTATAATACAAGGGATTGGCTGTTTAGTAGCTTCAACATATTCATCAATTGTACCACCAAACAATTTCGGTTTTCCTACATTAGGAACACGTAACACTCGACGTGGTTGATGTTTACTAATTAATCCAGATTGATTACTTGAACTTATAGTAGTAGTACAATTAGAAAATATAGGACTTGAAATAGATGTTGTAATTACATCATAATTAAATGAAGAAAGGATAGGTGAATCTTGATGAAAATTTTGAGGAATTGGTGGAGGTGGTAAAGGTGATAATAATGAAAATTAGTTTTTAATTGATCAAAATTTGTTGTTATTGATGATTTTGATCCTTTAGTAAAATCTTTACATCCAGGAAATTTTGGTAAAACAGGAATTCCATGTCGAAGCATAGATTTTAAATTTTGATAAGAAGTTGATATATGAGGAGTTGATTCATATTGATGAATATTCTGTGAAGATGCTAATACATTTTGAATCTGTGCAAGTTTTACTTGCATCAATTGATAAACATGCATTTCTTGAGTATAGAAAGAAAATCTCTAATAAAATAGATAGGTAAAAAGTTAGCATAAAAAAAGGGAAACAAAATTGAAACTATGATGCTTAGTGAATGAATATATATATATATGTATATATATACATATCATTAGCTCAGTGATGTCTTTCAAGTGAAGACAGGAGTGAAACAAGGTTGCCTACTATCCCCCATGATATTCCTGATTGTGGTCGACTGGACTGGATCATGCAGCAAACAGTAGGCAGCGAGAAGAGGGGGATACACTGGACGACGGAAAAGAACCTAGAAGACTTGGATTTCGCCGATGACTTATGCCTAATGTCACACAAACTTGAAGATCTACAGGCAAAAACTAACAAGTTGATAGAAGAGGCAACGAAGACGGGACTTCAGGTGAATATAGAGAAGACAGAAGTGATGAAGATACCGCACCACCACCAACAACAACAAACTCCAATCACTGTCAACGGGAGAAACTTAAAGGAAGTAACCTCCTTCACTTATCTAGGAAGCACTGTTTCAACTACAGGCGGGACGGACGAGGATGTCACAGTCAGAATCGGAAAAGCAAGACAGGCGTTCATTAGCCTGAAACCAGTGTGGAGATCTTCTGCACTCAGCATGCGGAACAAGATACGGATTTTCAACACCAACGCAGTCAACTCAGTGCTCTTGTATGGTTCAGAGACTTGGCGCGTCACGAAAGGTATTTCCAATAAACTACAGACATTCATCAACAACTGCCGCCTGCGCTCACTCGATACTGAAGATCAGATGGCCAGAAAAAATAAGCAACAAGGAACTCTGGGAACGAACCAACCAAGAACCTATCACGCAACAAATATGCAGGAAGAAGTGGAGATGGATTGGCCATGCACTGAGAAGGCCGACTGAGGACATCACGCGTCAGGCCAGTTGCTCGAGTGGAATTCGCATGGGAAGTGACGAGTTAGGCGTCCAAGGTGAGGGTGACATGGAGGAGGTCGTGCGAGCAGGAAATGAGAGCTTCTGGGCTGTCGTGGGACCAGGTTCAAAAGATCTCAGAGAACAGAGGTCACTGGAGGCGTGCTACTGAAGCCCTATGTTCCACTAGGAACCCAAGGGACTAATAATAGTAATAAATAATATATATATATATCATTTCGATTAAAAGAATTCCTTGTAAGCACTAATAAAACTCGAAAGAGAGCCCCATTGCTTAACGCTCAGATCATTGAATTATACATGTTTTGCCTAAAGTATGTAGGGTGAACTAAACAAAACAATCTTTACATATATAACAAAAATTTATATACATAGAAACTATTCACATAATAATATACTTAATCAAAAGAGAAATGTACAGATTGAAGTGTTACCTCAAGTTTTCTACAAGTAAAAATCTTTTTCTACGCTTCGTTCTATATGAAGTAAGTGATAATACTGGTGCTCATCAATTCAGTCTACTTACTATATAACTAGAAATATTTGTTATGTAAAGCTTGGTTCAGCATTGTGTGTTTTGAACAAATCGTTTGTACATCAATCTACTTATCCTATCCCACTTTGTCTACCTATATCCAATAAAGAATATTGTCCAGTGTTCACAGCAAAAGATGTTTTCAAATGTCTCAAATCCCTGAATCCTTATCACAATTCAGGGTTGGATGATATGTCAAACTTCGTATTCACCAAGTTTGCTGATATTTTATCCCACCTGTTAGCTAACATCTTCAATAGATCATTTTTACAAAACATCATATAAAGATAGTCCCCGTACTTAAGTTAAGGACTCCAGACGAATGTACGAAATTCCGTCCGATTACAGTTACCTCTCCGTTCTTAAAAGTAATGGAGAAGCTAATAATACCTGTGCTTGAGCCCTCACTGAAGGTTTTCGGAGAGTCCAATCACTTTTTATATAAAAGTAGAAGAAGCACCTTGGATACCACCACCCTCTTGGATCACGATATTGCTTATAGTCTTGATAGAAATACCAAGTACGTCAGGTGTATGTCTATTTAGACTATGCATCAGTATTTGATCCTGTCCCAAGATATCTTTTGTTAGACAAGCTAACCGGGAAAAATACTGAGTCCTGGATAATCAGCTGACTTCATTCTTATTTCTCTGGTAGGAAACAATATACCGTTCACACAGGGAAGCGCTCCACCTCAATGTTTACTGTGACTGGTGTTTTCCTATGGAGCCATCCTTTCCCCCTCGTATTTCCTCTTTCTTTCTGTATGACTTACCATCTTCGGCTGGTATCAACTTCATTAAACATCCCGATAACCTAACAGCTTCCATAGCTATCTCCCTCTTCAGGAGACTGTTCCCAACTGAATGATTTCCTGTCTACTGTTAGACAATAGTTCCCCGTCAATGGTCTCATGCTTAATTCTTCAAAATGTCAGACTATAAACTTTAGTTTCGAGGTGAACATTACCTATGTAAACCGCGTAATTCCCATGAATCCTGTTCTATTGACAGTTGTGCATTAGAGAATGTTACAAATGTGATTTTTCTAGGTATGTGTTTTTCTCTTGGACTTTTCCTGGTCCTCCCATATCCTACTAATTTCCAAAAGAATTTTCAGTCTAACTTTCCATATTAAGAATTTAAGAGTATCTGATATTACTCAGCGTCTCCAATTGTGTTTTATAAACTCCTGCATCTTACCAGTTCTCCTCTATTGTTCTTCTTTATTCTTTCTTGGGTTGCTGAAAAAAAGACTATGCTATATTGCATACAACTTTGAAGACTGTTAGCAGGATTATTGGTTTACCTTTAAACCTTCTAGTTAAAACAGTTATGGACAAACATATTAACTCATATAGATATCTGATAGGAGTTATTTTATCAGATGAACAGTATCCTCTCGAACCTTTACTCATGTGTACGCTTTTTAAAGTAATTCAAGGCAACTCGGTGACGGTTTATGCGCTAACTTTATGATGACTACCAGGTTATCCACTCAGAGGGGGATTCGAATACAGGAGGTAATAGTTGAAAGTAGAATGCTGAATTCAACAGCTCATAGTTCCATCCATAAAATATTTACGCTATGACGGTAATTACTCTTAGTTTTACCATCACCCAACAGACCTTTGCAGAATAGTAGGACATCAACGAACAACAGTTCGAGTCAGCCAGTCAGCCAGCATAGTATAGCTCATTGGATCATTGTAGTGTGCTAATCAGGCCAAAAGTCAAGATGGCAGTTATCGACCAGAGATACTCTCCATTCTATGCACGAGAAACGTCGATCGAAGACTTTCCTATATCTATGCTCAGTTATGCGATAATGAGTGACTTCGCTTAACTGAAAAGTTGAACAAACACAATCAGATTGAAAGGTGATGAGATTTCGAACATGAAATGCATTTAACATCTTTGTGTAATAGACAGACAATGGGCCACAACACCTGGCAGCCTAAATAAACCTCAGTTTATACAGCAGAGCTTGACCCCATCATCCATATGACAGAAAGTCAACAGCGTAAACTAATGAGTCACAGTGCTACAACAAAATTTTGACTTAGGTGTTAGACACTAATACTTTTGGCATATCTACTAAGGAGTTAATGTTCAGAGCAAGTGAACGATTATTTCCAATAAATTCTTCTTCTTCAAGCTCTACTCACTTATAAATCCATGAGAATAAATGAAATTCAATAGCCCAGTTAAGGCATGATGTACAGTTTTCACTATATAAAAACAGTTAGTGTTATGGAAGGGGGGGGGAATGGAAACTATTGTTCCCGGTTTATAGATGATACATTCATCATTTATAATAATGGCTACAATAAAGATGATCTCTTGAATACCTTCAATAAACTTCACCCAGATATGAAGTTCACTTGTGAGGAAGAACAAAAGAATAGTATTCCTTTCCTAGATATCCTCTTCCTCACAAAGAAAATGGATACGTATATTAAACGGAGTATTTTCGAAAGAACATACAAACTGGTCAATATAATCACTTTCATAGCTTCACATCGATTCAATATAAAAGAAACCTGGTCAAATGCCTAAGTTATAGATTAAGAAATATATTTTCCGGTGACTGTATTGAAGAAGAAATGAATAAGCTGAAGATAACATTGCAGTAGAATGGTTATCCGCCTAAATATATTAAACTGAGTTTCAAAGGTGATATTGCCTCAGATACCTTAACAAATCGATTGAGTAGAATAGTCGAAAAGACATTCAATGCAGTGAAGCTTTTTGTTAGTTTCTCAACCATACTATTAGTGACATAGAGAACCAAGAATAAGTTACCTATGATGGCCACTTCAATGTGCATTTATGAGTTCAATTGCTCCTGTGGAGCTAGTTACATAGACCGTACTCAAAGGATTCTATCCACGCATGTTCGTGAACACGTATCATCTTGGTTAGGGTAAGGAATAACAATGAGTATCAACAGTCCAATCCTCTCATACCTAGTAGATACTGGACATTAGATTAAGGTTGATTATGCCTTTTCTATGATATATCGTGCTCCTTGCAATTCCCCTAAATGTCGCATCTTATCCTTAGCTGAAGCCATAGGGATCTACCTCAAGAAACCTGGACCTATATGCTCAAAAGAAATATGTACATCCACTTTTTTTTTTACCTACCAGTAGTCATTTTCAGATATTCATTAACAGCTGCCACCTACGCTCGATAATGAAAATCAGATCAGATGACCAGAAAAAATAAGCAATAAGGAACTATATCCTGGCAACGAACCAACCAAGAACCTATTGCCCAATAAGTATGCAGAAAAAGTGGAGGTGGATTGAATATACAGTGAGAAGACCATCCGGTGACATCATGCGACAGGTCAGGTCGTCGAGTGAAATCCAAAAGGGAAACGACGAGTTGGGCTTCGGAGGCGGTGACACAGTGTAGATGGTATGAGGAAGAAATGAGAGCTTCTGGGCAGTCGTGAAGGCAGGTTCAAAAGATTGCAGAGACGTGCTACTGAAGCCCTATGTTCCACTAGGAACCCAAGAGACGAATAATAATAATAGTCATTTCCAACCATGACGT